ACATTGATTGCACTTTTACAACAGAACTTTTGACTCTCTCCTCAGCTTGTTCTCGACCAGCTCGGAAGAAATCCTCCTCTGCGACATCCTCTTCTTGTTCCTTATCCACTTTCATTGCCTGTGGACTTTCAGTCTGGATACCACGCAAACCTTTCCTCTTCAAGCGCCATCGAAGAACCGCTTTCTCAAGCACTCCAACTGACCAGATAATTTTGCTATACTGTCTCCTCACTTGGTGGCCTCGGAATACAGCCTAGAAATAGATCATAGTTATTAAGCAACGAATGGAACACTCGAAAAAATGGTCACTTGCAAAGAACTTATCTATTTATGTGAGTCTTTACGTTGCAGTTACATCAAGCATGTCTTTTTTGCCAACTTATAGATAAAGTCTTGATGCAAATATTAATTCAATCACCATGCAAAAAAGAACATAAAGAATAATGATGTATAATCAACATATAGGTTATTGGGCTTATTTGCAATGCATGGTAGCTCATCCAAATCGGCAATCTGAATAGCGCATTATGGTCTAAACAACCATAAAATATACAGGGTATGTACAACTAGAAGTGTCTGAGCTACAGCACAACAATGATCTAAACAAAATATGCAAGTAATTCATCTTAAAACATAATTTTTGGATAATTTAATCTTTAAAAAATATTTTATTGGATACATGAATTAATTTTCTCAACAGCTCTATGGTGAAGCATAAATTCCAAATAATAATTAAAAATAGGTATTGGATAATTTAATCTTTAAAAAATATTTTATTGGATACATGAATTAATTTTCTCAATAGCTCTATGGTGAAGCATAAACTCCAAATAATAATTCAAATAGGTAAAAGCATATAGGAAAAGTGGCTAATTTGGACAAAGTATCAAACTGACATTCATAGCGACCTATGTTGCATGGGTATTGGTACGGGTATGGGTTCTTGTATGGGTATGGGCACGGGACATGGCAAATTTGTAAAAAGGCAGGGTACGGGGACACAGTTACAAACATATTTATACACATATATTATATATTGAAATTAATAATTTATACAAGAACAAGGATGTAATAGCTAGTTTTGAGGGAATGCTTTAGGAACTGATAATTTTTGCTATGTAAGGGCCCATCAAGTTTTGGATTGATTTAATTATATAAAGGCCCATTAGTTGTCAAACTTTAATCTAGCTAGCCCATTAGCCTAAAACCCCAACTTCAAATTTTCCTCAATCACCTCACCACTTCCTCCTATACTGTAAATTTTTTTCACGTAGAGGAATCAAAAATCAAATCTCCAAGTGACCAACCCCCACCCTAGAAAATCTCTAACTATCTAATAACCTTATCTCTTTAAAATCTTATCCATCTCCTCTACCTTTCCTTCATAGTAGCTCTCAAAAAAAAATCCAAGCGGAAAGAAAAAGAGAGAACGGAGAAAAAAAAAATTAGAGGAGGATCGGGGGTGCTCAAGGAGAAGGGACAGATAGAGATTTTAAACTTCAAAGTTCAATTATTATTTTGGCAAGCATTTCTTATCATTCAACTCTTTTATGTTCATGATCATCTTATCTAAATACTAGTATTTCTTCCTAAAAATCATGAGGAATAAATTGTAGTTGGATTTTATCATATTTTATTAATTACAATGCTGTAGAAAAAATCTTTACACTTTATGCAAGCATTTTTCTTCTAGATAAGGATATTTTTCTAACCAGGACATAACTCTTCTTTTATATTTTTCTTATAATTCGAAAATTGTAGTTATCATCTATTTCCGGTTAAGTTTTGTATAACTATGTATTTTCGGATTCATTTTTTTAACCTATTAATAAAACTACTACTTCTAAGAGCAAGTGCAGCAAGCTCCCAGTTGGGAGTCCTAATCAGCAAGCTCCCAAGAGCTCTCAAGAGTCAAGACATGACCCACCATTTCCAATGCCACATCACCCTACTAACTAATGTTGATCTTCAACAAACTCCTAGTTAGGAGCTTCACAATATCAAAAAAAACCCTCTTCTATTTTAGTTTTGTAACAATATCAAAAAAACATTCTTCCATTTAACAACTATTTTCAACTTGGGTTTTGGGTTTAAAAGTAGGGGGGGGTTTGTAAAAAAAAAAATTTAATGCTTGGGAGCTCCCAAGAGCTCTGGTGGGCCCCACTGGCCACATCAGCCCAGGGAGCCCCTTGGGAGCTTGCTGGGAGTTTGTTGGAGGGGGGGTTCACGAGCTCCCACCGCCACGTAGGCCTTGAGAGCGGCGGTGGAAGTTTGGTGCACTTGCTCTAAATAATTTGTGTTAGCCTAGTAATCAGAAATTACATGTTATACATTTTGGTACAGTGGCTTATTTTCATAGACATGTGGTTGGCCTAGTGGTTAGGAGACTTCTTTGCTAACTCCTTAGTCACGAGTTCAATCCCATGATCATTATTTTTATGCCTATTAGGTATTTTGTCTGCTCCAACAAGAAATTCAATTTTCCTTTAACCCTTAATTCCTATAATGAGTAAATTTAGCTAATAAACAAATAAAAGAACAACCAAGGATTTTTCTAACTAAACCATATCTTCTATTTATGTGTAAATTTCCTTTTTTAAAAATAAAATTATTTTTAATAATATCGTTCTTAGTATTATTTATGTACAACAGAAAATTTGAGTTTTCTAAATCCTTCATGCATTACTTATCTTTTTTTCTTTAGGATTATAACTAATACTGTAATTAAAGTTTCGGATATGGATTTGACATGAAAAGTCTTTGGCATGGTGGTTAGTTGGTTTATATGCTATGTCCTTAGTCTCTGATTCGAACCCCAAGGCCTTTGATTTTACACAAAATTTTATTTGGGTAATGTTACATTAAACGCTGGGCGTTTCTAAGCGTCGGACTTGACGCCCAGCGCTTAGTCGTCTAGGCGGGCGCTTAAACGGTTTCTGGGCGTTTTTTTTTTAATTGTGATACTTGAAGATAAATATATATATATATATATACTCAATCAAAGATGCATAAATACTAAAATACCAATACTGTTAACTAAATTGCTTGGTTTACCAATTGCAATAGCCCTTTATATGTTTATACTTCTCAACTCAAATTATAAGTTCATCTCAACAATAAAAAACTAATTCTCAACTCAAATTACTATTAACTTATAAGTTACTGTTAAGTTTAAGTTAACAATAAACTTAAACTTAACTTTAATGTTAACTAAAATATTGTTAACTTATGTTTACTGTTTACTTAAACTTAAGTTTACTATCAATAAAAAACTTAATATTAACTTAAACTTAAGTTTACTGTTAACTTACACTTCTTAAGTTTAAGTTACTGTTGTTAACTAACTTAAATAGATATTTAAGAAGTACTATTTACCTTGTTAGTAGTTACAGAGATCGGGAGATTTCGACAATGTTACAGAAGACGCTAGACAGAGTAGGCGTTTGAACGAGCGCCTAGCACCTAGACGCCTGGGCGTACGCCTAGACGGGGCCTAGGCGATTGACTATTTTTAAATTATTTAATTATAATAATTAATAAAAATATGTATTAAATTTATATAAATTTTAAAAAAAGATAGCAATCTTAGTTCCACAATAAATCATGCATACTTAGATACTAAATAGCCAAAATAATAATTAACAAGGCTAGAGTCTAAGATGTTTTATTTTTTATTTTTAATTATAATAATTGATAGTGAATGTCAATGTTATAGAAAGCTTAGATGCCAGACTGTTATCTAGGCGGATTTCTTTCTTTATTTAAGTGATGGTTGATGAGATTTTGCTAAAGGTCGGAGGAGGTAGTGAAGATGTTCATATTTGGAGGTTAATAGAGTTTGGAGGACGTGTAGGCTACAACACATAAAATCACAATCAAGGCCTATAGGGTGCAATCCATGTAAGCAGATAATGCTCCTCTAAACACTCGTAAAATCTAGGTGGATAGCCTAAATACCGTCTTGACGTTAGGCGCTAGTTAGGCGGCCTAGGTACCGCCTAGGCCTAGGCGTACGTCTAAGCGGATTAGGCGAAGATTTTTTAAACGGTGCATTTGGGTATGTTTTTGAACTCAAAACCCGACCCGGTTGGGGTCACCATCAACGAGACCCGCTTGGGAACCTTACCCAATTCAGACCTACTATCAACCCGATCAGCTTGGGTCTAAAACACATAAATACCCAATATGTTTGGGTGTATAACTCAAATTACAGACTCGTTTGACTTTTTACTCAACAAAAAAAAAAGAAATTAGATTTGTGGATCTTTAAGCTATCAAACCAAACCCGTTGACCTTTTTTTTACACTAAATAATTACGTTATTTATTTTTTTCTTTTTTGATAAGTGAAGATATGTCATTTGACAATGTGTTTGAATACCCAATGCCATTGTTTGATCACCTAATGACATTTAATAGGGTCGATTGTGCATAAAGACAACTTTCGTCAAATTATGATTCATAAGTGCGCTATCATGACTATACCCTCAACATCGATATCTCGGTGTGAGAAGTTTCTCTTAATTATTACTATTATATAATAGCATCAACTAGATGATGCATCCATCTTGATTGGACATGTTCCGATCACAGTTATTTTTAATAGTTTTGCGGAAACCGTTCCACGGTAACTTTGTGGTTAGCGAACAATATTTCATGCACAACCATTGAAAATAAATAGATAAATATGAGGTTTAATAAAGGGAAATTGGGTGGAGAATATAAAGTGTATAGAAACGGGCTTATGCACATTCTTGATATTCTAAATTATATATAAGAGCCAAGGACCAATACTTGACTTAAAGCCGTGTTTCCAGTACGGTTTATGGGAACCTGATTTGTATACATAAAATATTCTCCTCTAATTCAAATAACATCTAAGATAATAATAATTTACTTGTGTGCATTGTGATAGACTTTATCTTGACATCTACAATTGCCGTTTCTTTTATCACCTTGAATTTAGGTTTCATTTTTTTATATCTGCCACATACACTTGCATGCACACCATTTCTTCATTTTACATGCTTATTAGGAGTTTTCTGATTCTCCTAAGGTTTGTGTACCCCAGACTCAGAGACTGCTCTTTCTTTGCAAGATCGAGTATTTTGAGGATCAGGCCCATTGACACTGACAGTGATCACATTCTATCCTATCCATTCTCAGTTTCAGTTGGTGTAGGTAGTTATTTGATCCAGACTTTCCTTTGAGCCACATGTGGCTTTTCAAAACTATGATTTTTTTGTTATTCCTTTTCATTCTGGATAGTTGTGGACTTGTACTTAAAACTCTGTCTTTCCAGAGATATTTTTTTCCTATATATTTCTTTGTTATCTTAGTTACATGCTCTGTAGTGTAGTTTTGATGGTATATCTGTATACATCTAAAGATATTTTTTCCTATATATTTCTTTGTTACCTTAGTTACATGCTTTGTAGTGTAGTTTTGGTAGTATATCTGTATACAGGGTGACCTAAAGGTGTGAATGTGACCGAGTGGTTGCATTGCCGGCCGAGTCATGTTCCAAATGCCTACATTTTGGAACCGGTGCGTGACAAGATTTTTACTTAGTATCAAAGCCAGGTTAGATAATTGTTGCCTCATCCTGTATGCAAGTAAAAACTAAGATCAGGCCAAAACCAGAACATGTATAGAATGTGTTCTTTCCTCCTCAGAAATACGTCATTTGATTCCTAACACCTTGATTCTCAAGTCCTAATTTTGACCAATCTCATTTCAGGCGATTACTGTGGCCCCAAAACATCGCCCCCCTACTCTAATTGGCCCTGAGGGACAGCAGGTCGATTAGGCTAATCTTGCAGAAGCGATTAGGAAGTTGGTAGCTCATAATCGTCAAAGAGATGGGCAACAGCAGGCTGCAAGGCTAGGCAATGTGTCTGATTTTCAAAAGCTCAACACACAACACTTCGTTGGGATTGAAGGTGGATATGAGGCCTTGATGTGGTTGCAGATCATGGACCGACTATTAGGGGCAGTAAAAATACCGGATGAAGATAGAGTTGATGTTGTACAGTTGCAGCTCGTAAATATAGCCAGGACCTGGTGGGACGCAGAGGAGAAGCTTCATAAGCCAATTTCATAGGAGACATTCCGGGAAAGCTTCCTAGAGATATTTTCCCCTAAGACAGCTCGTCTTGAGATGCAGAGACAGTTTGTTACGTTGAGACAGAGAACTAGTATTGTATATAAGTATGCATCAAAATTTATCAAGCTCAGCAGGTTTGTCCTGGGCATGGTGTCCAATGACGTGGATAAGGAACATGTTCATGCAGGATCTAAATTTTGAGATCCAGATGCAAATTTACAGTCAGAAGGGGATTGAGACTTATACTGATGTCTGAGAGGTAGCTTGAAAAGCAGAATAATTGATTGAGATCATGAACTTGGTGAAGAGAAAGGTAAACAAGCGCTCTGTAGGACATACATCAAGGGATAATAAGTAGAAGCCTCAAATGGGAGGAGCACCAGCCAAGCGCCAGCAGATAGCGACTCCAAGGTTAGCTCCATAGGCAACTAACATGATTTGTTATTTTTACAATAAACCTGGGCACTTGATGGACTGTATGAAAGCTAATGGGTTATGCCTAACATGTAGAGCGACGAATCATCAGCTTACCACTTGCCCTAGTAGACGAGTTTCAAGAGGAGCGTTAGGGGGAGCGATAGTACTAGCAAGCCAAGCTAGACAGGGTGGACAACAAAGGGGACCATCACTTCCTACTCAGCAGCAGATGTTCCGAGGACATTAGAGAGGGCAATAATTTTAAGGCCAGAGACAGTGGAAAGGTCCACAGTTTCAACACTCATACAAACCGCAGTATCAGTAGAAACGCCCAGGGCAGTACAGTCAGTAGGTTCAACAACAGCAAAGATAATGTCAGGTTCTGACACTTACCGCTGAGCAGACAGACGCATCTGGTGATGTGATCACATGTACCATTTTGATTTATTCAGTCCCTGCATTATCCTACTTGATTCTAGGGCATCACACTGTTTTATATCCGCTCAGTTCATTGCACGACACACCATACTATGCGATAGTTTAGATATGGTCTGAAATATCTATACAGGTAGTGGGGTGTTAATGTCTAGTAGAAAGAGTAAGAGATGCCTAATAGTAGTCTAAATTTATGAGCAGTGGCAAAGTGATGGAGCAGCCAGAGTATCGAGCAGGCATGGATGGAGTAATAACTTAGATAGAGGTAGAGGACAAGTCCATACCAAAAATTATCGAGGAGTTCCTTCATGTTTTCCCTGATGAGTTGCCAGACCAGATAGAGATATAGAGTTTGTCATCGATCTAATTTCAGGAGTTGCACCAATCTCAGAACCACCTTATCGGATGCCGATAGTAGATTTAGAGGAGTTGCGAAAGCAGGTCCAGGAGTATCTCGATAAAAAATTTATCATGCTTAGCACTTCACCTTGGGGAGCACCGGTGGTGTAAGTGCCAAAGGCAGACGGTAGCTGAAGGATGTGTATTGACTATAGGGAGTTGAATCGGGTTACCACAAAAAATAGGTACCCGGTTCCTAGGATTGATGATCTTTTCTATCAACTCGGAGAAACTAGGGTGTTTTTTGAGCTGGACCTCAGGTCAGGTTATCATCAGTTGAAGGTGAGGAATGAAGAGATACCCAAGATTGCATTCCGCACACAGTACGGGCACTATGAGCTCTTGGTGACGTCGTTCGGAGTGACAAATGCTCCATCTACATTTATAAGTTTGATGAGCAAATGTGTTTTCCTAGTATCTTGACCAGTTTGTGGTGGTGTTCATCGATGACATTCTTATATACTCTAAGACCAAGAAAGATCATGCAGAGCATCTACAGACGGTGTTAAAAATCCCGCGGAACGAGAAGCTCTATGGGAAATTGAATAAGTATGAGCTCTGACTGGAGCAAGTGTCCTTCCTGGAGCATGTGATTTCAGGAACATGCATCTCTGTGGACCTAAAGAAGGTTGACCTAAAGAAGGTTGATGCGGTGTTGAGGTTGTATCCGCCTACATCTGTGACAGAAGTGCGAAGTTATTTAGGGATGGCTGGATACTATAGGAAATTCATAAAGAATTTCGTTAAGATTGCAGGACCACTTACTAGGTTGACTCGAAAGGAGGTTAAGTTTGTGTGGACTCAGGAGTGTCAAACAGCATTTGAGGAGTTGAAGAAGTTGACGACAACACCAATTTTGACAATTTCGGATCAATTCTGGATGAATCAGGAGGATTTGTAGTGCACATAGATGCTTCCGGTTTAGGTTTAGGTTGTGTTCTGATGCACCAGGGAAAGGTAGTAGCTTATACGCCTAGACATCTGAAGGCGCATGAGAACTACCCGGTTCATGATTTGGAGTTGGTGGCGTTAGTTTGCATTGAAGCTATGACGACACTATCTTTTAGGGCAGAGAGTGGAGGCGTACACAGATCATAAAAGTTTAAAGTATATCTTCACTCAGAAGGAGCTCAACATGAGGCAGTGTATATAAGCGAGTTTATGCGCATTCTTGATATCCTGAGTTATATATAAGGGCTAAGGGCTAATACTTGACTTGAAGCCGTGTTCCCAGTACGGCTTACGGGAACCCGATTTATATACATGAAATATTCTCCTCTAATTCAAATAATATCTAAGATAATAATAATTTGCTTGTGTGCATTGTGATAGACTTTATCTTGACATCTACAATTGGCATTTCTTTTATCACCTTGAATTTAGGTTTCATCTTTTTTTAATATCTGTCACATACACTTACATGCACACAAATTTTTTATTTTACATGCTTATTGGGAGTTTTCTGACTCCCTAAGGTTTGCGTATCCTAGACTTGGAGACTGCTCTTTCTTTGCAAGATCGAGTATTTTGAGGACCAGGCCTAGCGGCAGTGATCACACTCTATCCTATCCATTCTCATTTTAGTTGGTGTAGGTATTTATTTGATTCAGACTTTCCTTTGAGCCACATGTAGCTTTTCAAAACTACGATTTTTTTGTTACTCGTTTTCATTCTGGATAGTTGTGGACTTGTACTTGAACTGTCTTTTCAGAGAATTTTTTTTCCTATATATTTCTTTGTTATCTTAGTTACATGTTCTGTAGTGTAGTTTTGATGATATGTTTGTATACAGGATGACCTAGTGACGTGAATGTGACCGAGTGGTTGCATTGTTGGCCGAGTCACGTTCCAAATGCCTACATTTTGGAATCGGGGCATGACAATGGATGAGGATTAAATTTTCTAACATTTTAATGTTTCTTTTATTACGCAAACTATAATTTGGAAAATCACTAGTTTTTGAAATAAATATCTAGACGACCCTTCAAAAGCATAATTCGGAATATAACCTATGTCCACCGAGTTTCAAGAAATAGATGTGAAGTGTATGATATATGTCCAAAAAATGTATTGACAGATGTTTTAACTTAAAACTTGTCTTGTAAAATTGAATACATATCCGAATAAATGTATGCATATATGCAAGGAGTGTCCAATGAGTTTGGGTATGGGTACGAGTACATGTCGGATACAGGCACGACTTCAGACTAGAAGTACTCAGGTAACACAGATGGTGAGTTGGCGACCCATGGTGATCTCCACCTTTAGCTAGGACATGATCTAATGGTTATCATCTTTAATCCTCAGTTATATGTGAACTCTATGTATGGCTAGGCAGGCATTTTTTTTGGCACTCAAATCGGCTATCCATGAGTTCGTGTTTTCTTTCTTTCTTTCTTTCTTTTTGCCTTTCTTTCTTGCTAATATCAAAGGATAATTTGGAATCACAGAGCTTCATTAACATAAATATATAGTTATGTGTTAACCACCAAACAAGGAAGATAGTTTGTTTCAAAGGCTTACTTGGATTTTGATTGCTTGCCTACGCATGTTGAGGAAATTCTTGCGCGCTTGCCAAGTGCGGAAATAGCTTTGTATATGTGCAGCAGCTTTCATCAACCTTCGCCTGCTATAATTCCGAAATGCATGCTGAATCTTAAGAGCAGCAACTATCTGGGCAGCATCCAAAACAGGGTTTGCCAGCTGGACTGCTTTTGTTTGCTGCTTTAGAGAACGTTCCCTGAATGCTGCTTGTATACGATCTGCTGCATCAGCAGCATTGCGATATGCTGCTAATGATTCTTTCAAGCATAACTCCTGTTCACTAAGGTTTTCAGAATAATCAGAGTTAAGTACATTGTGCGAAGTTGGTGGCGGAGATGCAGTTATGTTCCCTGATCGTGACATAGCCAGAACATGTGCTGTTAATGCCTTCTCTGCAAGATATGCAGCCAAGCCTTCATAGCCCTCTTTTGATGCTAAATCAGCAGCAGTGCATCCTCCAGGATTTGCTGGAGTGGGATCTGTAACCAAGCTTGCATTTGCCCCAGCAGTTAAAAGAGCAGCAACCGTTTTCTCCCTGAAATACACAGATTTAATGTTAGAACAGAACATATATAAAAGCAATATGAGAGAGAAACATAACGTGACATTACTTTCCTACATGATAGCTCTATCTATACTTCCCTTCTTATTCACAATACTACAGAGTCTGAACCTGTCTCTCTGGGCAATGCAGTACTAACCACTGCAAATTTATGAGACCCATAGCTCGATCCCATATATGATCCCCCAAATTAATGGTAGTGATTGTTTCAGTTTTATTGTAGATATAGCTTCGGGGTTTAAGCTTTGAGGTTCACCAACAAAACTGTATCTATGTATTGCCCATTCCAGTTTTGTATATTCATATGGTTTGATTGAAATTTATTGTTTATCTTTTCTTTAACTTTTGCTTCTAAGTAACTTCATGACTACTCACTTTCTCCGGGACGGAACAGATACCAGGAAAACACTTCATTTTACTCTAAAAAAAGTAAAAAAGTAAATTTTTTTTCCTGCCATGCAACTTCCAATCAGAAATTTGGAACATTTAAGCTAACATATTCTACAAGATAATATTTATCGTGATCTTTAGCTACAACTAAATTCGAACAAACAAGAACTCAAGAAAGTTGTTGTCAATGCATATTCAAGGCTTGCACACTCTTGGTTGAGGCCTTAGAAAGATGTATATCATGTTTCAACTGATCAAAAGATGGTAACGACATTGGAGAAGCTGTCATATATTATTCCATTATATGTAATTACTGACATATCACATGCACACATACATGCAGGTGACCATAAGAATACATGGCACATGTGAGTACCCACATAGACGTGCCCACACGAGATAAAGAGAAACGAATAAATATAAGAACGAGAAATTAGCATTTGTATTACACCTCAATGGGTGATTGTTGGAAGATGTGAAATCTGCCTTGTTAGTCATGTAATTCAAGTCCCTGAAACCAATTTATGCGATTAAGCTACACAAAGTAATGTTTATCAAGACGGTGGTTTTTAACTCACAGAGTTCTGCCTATTGATATTCCTACTATACATCTCTAAGGTATCAATACTCACACAGGCCAACAGAAGCTATTAAATACTGCATAAGTGTCTTCTTTTTTTATCTAGGATATGAATAGAGATCTTCTGCTGCCAAGTCTCTACAGATACATGTTGTGTAATAAGCACTAAAAGAAGACAAACTCAAGAGAGAATGCAATTTAAAAGTCAGTTCAGGATTTGATTGATAAACAATCCACTACATTATTAACTCCTAAAGAAAGCAAAAAAGTGCAGTGAGAGAAAAGACTACCTCCCATAAGAGGCAGCCCAGTGTAGGGCTGTCCAGCCAGAAGCATCTCGAAAATCTAAGGAAAATCCTGACAATGAGAATAAACGAACAGCCCATGCATAATCCAAAATGGCACACAGATGAATGGCTCCTTGACCCTGACTGTCAAGAGGAGTTATCTTGCATCCTTCAGCTAGTTTAAGCAATAACCATTCGTGTAACTTGTTTTTCAGAAATAGCTCAAACAAATCCTGATCATCTGAAATTTCATTATCTTCTCTTAATTTTAGCAGGCTCAACCAATCGTTTTCCAGTAAAGGAGAGGAGAGCAAGTCATATTTTTTTGCTTCCTTCAAGGACTTCGGTTGAATCTTGTTGGATAAAATAGAAATGTTGTTGGATGTTGAGAAAAGCAGATGACAAAGCCTTATTTGCACCTGACTTAATGACTTGTTTGATTTGTCACTGTCTTTTTCCATGGAATTCAACACACCACTCGATTGAAGACTTGGAAGAGGGCGATGCTCAAAACCAAGGATCTGGCTAATAGGCGTGCGACCATCCAAAGTCAAAAAGAATTTCACTAAGCCAGGAACGGCTGAGGAGGTTGTACAACGGTAAACACCATTTTGAACCATTTCTGCAGCAATAGATGTTTCACCGAAGACACAAAATACCTTGGATCCGCTTAAATGTTTGTATGGTTCGTTAAAATGTCCAACCACCAAAACCTGTAGTATTGCTCCAAATGTTAGTTATACTTGAGATGTACATAACATAAAGAAGTATTATAGTTTGCCTGTGAATTTTCTGCTAACCTAATCCAGTATCGGTAACAAGTGGTTGTACACTTCTGATATATATCTTAAGCAATGCTAGGTGAAGCAAGGGCACAACTTACAGTCAATGGTTACCTGTTTTCTGCTCTTCTTGTATCCGTGTTAAGATTTTAGAGGAAAGAATTTATGCGGAAGGAATGTAAACATACAACCACATGATAATATAGGATATAGCTACTTGCTAACATAGCAAAGTAGGCTATATAGTGACTCAAATTACAAAGCAGCCACCAGATTCCATTGGCACCACAAGTGGCTTAAAGAGATTCATTGATTTCATCAAACGACAAATGAGATTATAAAGTATTATAAATAAATAACTGATTCATTTGTTGACAATCGCTTTCTGTTAACCGATTTTCACATCATGTTCATTTGCTTTGTTGTCGCTCATCTAAGCTGTAGTCATGATGCCCAACATCATTCATCAAACTGTCATGTCAACTATATTGCATAGCTTATTATGCAACACTCAAAGGCTCATTAACTAATGTCAGAAATTGTATACTAGTTTTAGATTCATGGATGGACCATACCAAAGAAGCCTACTGTGCTGATACAAAAAAATGAGAGGTTGGTTGAATTAGTAAAATGGAACTAGGGCTTCTTAGTTCTTAGTATGAGAAAATAATCTTGAGATTCAATAAACTTTACAAAAAAAAGTTTCTGGTTTCCAATGAGTACTTATAATAAGTTTAGGTGGTGGACTAACCAGTGGCGGAGCCAAGAATTCATAGTATTGGTTTCACTATATATATAATAGACGCTATAACTAATTTCTCATATTCAAAATATATCAGGAACTTTAATATGAGAAAAATTAGTTCCTGATATATTTTGAATATGAGAAAAATTAGTTATAGCGTCTATTATATATATAGTGAAACCAATACTAACATTAGTGGACTAACCATGTTTTGAAATTGTTGCATTATTGACTCATTCAAAATACGACTAAATACATCCTTTTCCTTTTCAATGTAAATTACTAACTTGCTAACATTTAACGGAATTAAGGGTTTGGAGTCTTTGGACCACCAAAGGCTTGGCCCATTTACGGTTTGGGTTTGGGCTATCTAAATTATAAATGGGTCACTATCCATTATTTAATTTGATAATGGGTTCACTAATGAATCAAAAGCTATTATGTACCCAAGGAACTTTTGCTAGAGGACGGTGTCACTTAGACACCACTCTCCACCTTCCTTAAGGTACCTCCGCCCCTGGGACTAACTAGGGCGTCTTAGAAGGCTAAATGATGTTTATGAACACAACGATTTTATAGAGGCTGGATCATTATAATAAAACAGTCATTTGATCACATTTGTAGATGGTGTAAAATCTAGCTCCATATATTTTAGAATCTCTTTTCAGGTAGGATGATTTTGATAGGTTCAAGATCGAATTTCAAAGATTTGGCTTATAATGACAAACAAAAAGACATTGATGTAATAATGCAAGATGATGCAGTCCAGCAAATGAGTAACTTTGATCAGGTGAAGGGGAAAAACCTTGGTTTCGGCACTGGAATAAGCCCACTGAGGTGAAACGTCCACAATATTGAAAATTGGCACTTGCATACAGAACTGATCCATTGGCTGAAATGCATCTGATTTATCACCACCTGCAATAGAGGCATCAAACTGCACACTATCCAATGACTGAAGTGATTCATTATTCACATAATTCCACCTTCCAAAACTATCTTGACTAGTTAAGATCTCATCAGCAATAAGCCTTGGCATTTCACTACTACCATCAAGAGTTGACTTTAAGTCTATCACTTGAGGAGGAGGAGGATTGAAATAGTCGAAGAAAGGAGACTGGCTATTGTGCTCTACCACTGTCTGAAAATTTCTGTTGTTTCCTTGTTTAACACCATCGAATCCGCTATTGTTAATTACTTCACTTGAATGCTCAGAAGAAGTTACCCCTTGTGATGAAAGGAAACTACCCTGTATCAAAAGCCAAAATGCAACCTCAATTCTTAATCACCAGTAGAGAGAAGTATTGAACTAGAATTGCAAGTCATTATATGTTAGGTTAACAAATATATTCCATCCCAAGACAAGAATTGCAGATATGCAATTGTAGAATTTGTACACTACTTGATAGATCTTTTCTCAAGAGAAAGTTAGATAAATCTGTAAATTCAAAATATGAAAGTGTAGGAAATAACTGGTTTACAAGTTTAGAACATTGCAAATAAAATAAGACAAGAAATATTATTAATGGTAGAAAGAGATCAAACATTGTATAGACGAGGTCATTCAGACATTGTTGCAACTAATGTAACAAACAGTAACTGATCAAACAAATGGCACTGGATGAAATAAACATTTGAATTTCTGATATATAGGAAACCAATGGAGAGTTATGATATTTAAAGAAATACAAGATACAGGAAATGGGGATGGGGTGGAGGTGGCGACTTGGAGGTGGTTTGCTGGTTACAGCAATCAAAAGGAGAATGAAATAGCAGAATGACCTACCATTCAGGTGAGAAAATAAAGGGCAAACTAGGTTGGTTAGCTGGAAAATTGAAGAGAGGGCTCCATGACAAACCATGACCTATGTCATAAAGCAAGTGAAGCATTATACTGGGTGACAAGGATTCACATAATAGGCCACATAATCATAATAACTAATTTGCTAATAATTCATTATTACCATGAAATACAACCAAGATAATCCGCAGGAATGAATCTACCTCAGCAATCAGACAACTACTTACATTATTTGGGGAATTTAACAGCTCATATTGCAGATGCTGACCTGAGGATGAATTATAACTTTTAGCATGAGATAAAGGCGAAAAGATTTCTCGTTTCAGACACCAATTGGAAAACAGTTTGCCGAACAGTTACCTTCCGTATGTGAACCTACGCCAATATACGGCTCTTCAAGATCACCCCAGTCAAAGTTATTATTCTGAGTTTGAACATGTTCATTGACTGGGTATAAACCTGAACCTGTTACATGATGATCACAGAAAAAAGCTGAGATAAGAGTTTGGGTACATAATACTAATTACTAAGCATGCCACATGTGACACATGTCAAGAAAGTTTTAAGTCCTTCTGTCCTGTGGATGGCAAGACTATCGCAAGTTCAACAACATAAGTAGTAAAAGTCGACTATTACGAAAACTATAGAACATTTTACAATAAGAAAGTCAAGTTTTAAAGTGAAATTTGGAACATAGAGATGTCGCTGGGAATGGATGGCTGTAGTAGTACAAGCTACATAAGCATGATACATTCTGGTGCATATATCTATACAACATATTAAGAGAAGCTTCCCTTTTGATTTGTATGAGCCACAAATTTAGAATGCCAAAAATGCTATCACACTATAAAAAACAAAGGAAATTCCCTTGCACTTGAAAAAAAACCCAAAAAAAAAATCTAACAAACAACTCAGTCCATTGAGAACTCGACTACGACACTCTTCCACGTTTTCTGTCACGGACGCATTGTGTGCATCAGGATACCAGTTGGAAATAAAAACAAACTACAATTAATTCCATAGGCACCTACACTGTAGACTTTTCTTACCAGAGTAAATAGCTTGCGCCTCTCCAGAGTTTATTTCTTCTGAATGAACTGCAGAACCAGACAGGTCTGAATGAGCTGAACCAGAGTTTGAATTTATCGGTGTTACTGGAGAGTTCCTCATGTTATTGTAGGGAATAGGGCCGGTAGATTCCAATGCTTGAGGGTTGGGAATAATAGACTCCTGATAGTAAATACAGAAATGAGTAGAATGAGCAGAAAACATGTAATGTTAAGTGCATATTAAATTCGAGAGGACATTATTCATTTCAATCGGCAGCTATCAGAGACAAACATCATCAATAAGTGCACCTTTTCCTATGAATCCTATCGAAGTCATGTTGTCTATAAAGACTGCTCTATTAAAGATTAACAAAATTCAAATAACAAGACTATCAATCAAACGTGCAATCTGCCGTTTCACTTTACACTAATTTCCTAGGTAATCTTGCTTCTAAACCAGGAACACCAATTGACGGGTAGGAAATGCACAAAATTGGTTTCTGTCAAACAAGCAACAACTATAAATCAACTAGATAAACAGGGAACATCATAAGATTTCTTATAAGATTAAATACATCTATGGTCAATAGGTAGAGAAATTATTTCATTAAATCCATAAATAATAGTCAAAAAAATAATGGCAATGTGATTTTGACCGGAATGCTAAAGGAGAAGGATGGAAAAGTGCAATAGTCCTTGCTTCTTGTTCATGCTACAATGGTAATTTGGAACTCTCTTCCCTTTCTCACCTAGTAGTTCATCAAGAAAAGCTTTTGAGAGTGATTGTGGTGTAATAAAATTTGTTTTTAATCTGTATACGCCCTCAAATCTATAATATTTTAATTTACCCTCCAAATCTTCATATTTACCAATTTACTGACTAATTTACAGTTAAATCTTTGGATTACCTATAATTTCTGTTAGAGAATAAGCTTGATTTATACCCCCATCTTTTTTTGCAAAATATCACTAAATTACCTGTACATCATTAATCAACCCACTAGTCAGTCTCACTCCCATATAAGAAAAATAAAAGGGGGGNAGCACCGGAGCTCTCTGAAGTTTTGGGTTTAGGGAGATAGAAAATGAGGGTAGAATAGGAATTTTACCCTAATTTTGTTAGAAGCAAAAGTTAAATTGAGGACCAAACTGATGGATTGGAGGTGTGATTTGAGGGTAAATTGACAAATATGAATATTTGAGGGGCAATCGTAGAAAACCATAAGTTTGATGGGTGTATAGGTGAAAACACCCAAAAATTTTAGTAAGGGCAATTGATTTTTGGTACAACATGTGTTTGAGTTGCCCAAAGGTCTAATGTGTTGTTTGGTTGTACATTGTAGTTCATCTACATCCAACTAGAATAAAATCAATTGAGTAATTTGAAAAAATAATTTGCTTTGTAAGACGAAGAATAATGGAAGAAAATGCAGCACGGTGGGTAATGGCACATGGGTTCATGACAATGGGCACGTAGGACAATTAATTGGCAAGGTATATCATGCGAAACATGTGAAAAGAAGTAGTGTAGGAGAGGAGAGAGCGATAAATATCAATGCACAGTATCCTTTATTCAAAATATAAACGTGGCAATATCGTTTCATTTGGATTTTGGATCTTTTTTTTTTTGGTTGGTGGTTGGGGGCGCGGTGGGGGTGGAATGAAGGTATACTCTCCTAATCTTAACTCTTTTTCCCAATCTTACCAAATTTAGGGAACACATGCTCCTCGATTGCATGAGCTTTTAACGTGTAGCGTTAAAAAAATGTCTCAGGAATAAAAAATATAGGTCCTGCCGACAGGCTATACTAGGTTTTATGCCTCAGACTTCCTAGGTTATGGTTGATGTGACTCAAAATTCGCACCACTTAATAAAAGCCTGATGTCAGGCTGAGACTAGTAACATAAGCTTGGTTAAGTTCTTGTTTCGCCACTTTCCAGTCCATTCTGCAAAAAATCCTATTACATGGAAGGGCTCGCATTATAGACCAATACCATACATTATAAATCCTTTTTGTTTTTTCCCTTTTTTATTTGAATAAAGGTTTTAGCAATTGATAATTGATAATACAAAAACCCTAACCCTATTATGAGATCTCTTGGGCTTATATAGGCCCTACACAACTTACACATAACCCCCTACATATATTACTAATGTCAACACTCCTCCTCAAGATGGGCGAAAGATATCCACTAAGCCCATCTTGTCACATCCTCTAATCATGTCTAATGAGCTAAGTCCTTTAGTCAGACAATCTGCTGCCTGGTCCTTAGTTGAAACATGACTTAGCTCCAGTAGTCCACTATCCAACTTCTCTTTGATGAAGAACCTATCGATCTCGATGTGTTTGGTTCTATCATGCTGCACTGGGTTGTTGGCGATACTGATAGCTGACTTGTTGTCACACTATAACTTTATCTTAGCTCCTTGATCCAGCTTCAGCTCAACCAGCATACTCTTCAACCATAACAACTCAGCAACTCCTAAGGCCATAGCTCTATACTCTGCCTCAGCTGTTGATCTCGCCACCACTGATTGCTTCTTGCTCTTCCACGAGACTAAGTTGCCTCCTATAAAGATGCAGTATCCCGAGGTGGACCTCCTGTCATTAGCACAGCTAGCCCAATCAGAGTCGCAATAACCCTCGATGCTCACATGTCCATTTTTTCTGAATATCAGTCCCTTTCCAGGGGCACTCTTCAGATATCTCAGAATCTGGTACACAGCGTCCATATGACCCTTCCTTGGATCATGCATGTAGCGGCTCACCACGCTCACTGCAAAAGAGATATCGGGACGTGTGTGACTCAGATAGATCAACCTCCCTACCAGCCTTTGGTATCTGTCACGATCAACTGGTTCTCCAGCCTCAGCACCCAGCTTGAACTTCTGGTCGATCGGTGTAGTTGCAGGTTTACACCCTAACATCCCTGTCTCTTTAAGAAGATCCAGTGCATACTTTCTCTGGGATAGGACGATCCCCTCCGCTCCTCGAGCTATCTCTATTCCAAGAAAGTATCGAAGCAAGCCAAGATCTTTCACCTCGAACTCCTTACCCAGTCTCACTTTGAGTTTGGCAATCTCCTCCTCATCATCCCCTGTAATGATCATATCATCCACATATACCGCAAGCACAGTGATGTAACCTTCATTTCGTCGGAAGAACACGGTATGATCAGCGTTAATCTGCCGGTATCCCATACCTATCATAGCCCGCCTAAATCTGTCGAACCAAGCACGAGGAGATTGTTTCAGGCCATATAGAGACTTCTTCAATCTGCAGACCTTGCCCACTGTCTGTTCTGTGTTGAATCCTGGCGGAATTTCCATGTATACCTCTTCCACCAGATCTCCATGAAGAAATGCATTCTTCACATCTAATTGGTGTAGCTTCCATCCACCATTTACTGCCAGAGAGATCAAGGTTCGAACAGTGCTCATCTTCGCCACTGGTGCAAAAGTCTCATCATAATCGATGTCGTATGTCTGACTATATCCTTTTGCCACCAGACGAGCTTTGTAGCGCTCAACCTGTCCATCTGGATTCTGCTTCACAGTGAAGACCCACTTGCATCCAACTGCTCTCTTCCCTTTTGGTAGTTTTACTAACTCCCAAGTGCGGTTCTTCTCAAGGGCCCTTAGCTCTTCGTGCATAGCAGCTTTCCATTTCTGGTCCTTCTTTGCAACCTGCCAATTGTTAGGTATAGTAACAGAGTCCAATGATGCAATGAATGCTCCATATGCAGGGTGGATGTTAGAATATGATACAAACTGAGCAAGATCCCAACCATATCTATCGGGAGGATTTCCCGCATTACTGCGAGTAGTCCTCCGTACAGTTATTGGTGTGGGAGGAATAGGAAGAGAAATGGAGTCACCTTGAGAGGAATCTTGTGGTGGTGTAGGTGTCTCTGGAGTCGGGGCAGGCGTTGGCAAGGGACTTGGCACCAGTGGCACTGTAGGTACTGTTGGTACTGTTCCCGCAATTTGTTTCCCCTTCCTACTATAGGTAAGTAGTTCTCCCTGAGCCGTTGGCCTAACACCTCTTGTCTCAATCTCCTCGTCGTCTTCATTCACTTGCTCCTCCTCAACCAAGTCTCCTTCCCAAGGAATCGTTACAGAAATTGATTTTTCCGATCTCTCACCATTCTCAGACATTGATTTCTCCACATTCTCCTCCTCTCGCCGCATACTTCCAGTATTAGGCGAGTTATCAACGGATGAAGTTACCTTCCGGGTGTAATATGGCTCGAGTTCTCGAAAGTGCACATCCATACTCACAAACAACCTTTTCTCCACCGGGCTCCAGCAAACATAGCCCTTCTGAGTAGCAGAATATCCCACAAAAATACATTTCACCGCTCTAGGGGCAAGCTTCCCGACTGATGGCCTGTTGTCTTTCACAAAGCACACACAGCCAAACACCTTGAGTGGAAGAAGCCCACCATTATCTCCCTTCAACAACTCACACGGAGACTTCCAATCCAGCACTCTCGAGGGCATTCTGTTGATTAGTGCTGCCGCGGTCAACACTGCTTGTCCCCATAATGTTTCTGGGACATTCATAGAGATCATCATACTTCTAGCAACCTCTAAAAGATGTCTATTCTTTCTTTCCGCTACTCCATTTTGAGCAGGTGTGTATGGACACGTAGTCTGGTGTTGTATTCCCTGAGCTGACAAGTATTCCCCAAACGTTTTGTTAGTATACTCTGTCCCATTATCAGATCTTAATACCTTCACCACAGCGCCGTATTGAGTCTGAGCATACCTATGAAAATTTTGAAAGCAACTAAACACTTCACTCTTATTTTTCATCAGGTACAACCAAGTAACGCGGGAGAAACAATCAATAAAAGTAACAAAATACTTGTATCCATTCATAGAACTTGTAGAACAAGGTCCCCAAACATCTGAATGTATCAGTTCGAATACACGAGAACTCCTATGACCAGAACTTACGTAAGAACTTCTAGTAAGTTTTCCAAGCTCACATGCATCACATACAAGGTGCTGCTTATTTGCTTTCTCAAATAGAGATGGATACAACCTACTTAAAACATTAAAAGATGAGTGTCCCAAACGCTGGTGATGAAGCATCAACACACTCTCAGCACTCATCTCAGATCCTACTTCTGCTCTCTCTATCATTGACACCAATGCTGAATCCAGTCCTTCAC